TAAATAAAGTATATGAGTTTAAGTATGAGTTTGAAGTACACACGAATTTTGTTTATTTCTTTTTTAATTTTAATTGTGATTAATTTTAATCTTGATTTAACTTACTCTCATCATCTGTTTCTAATTCTTAGAACTAGACTAGAATAAAAAGTAAATTAATCAAGATTAAAGTTAATCGATATTAGTAGAAACAGCATTTGGTATTAAAAAAAAATTAAAAAGAATAAACCGAGTAAATTGCGAATTTAAAATATGTTTAAAATACGAGTTTATGATATACGAGCTTGTTATAAAGAAAACAAAAATAGGTTTAACTCGGTTTCATTTTACCCGCGCATCGCTCCGTCGCGACGTCTCCGTAGTTACCGTTCGAATTACGTCGTTGGCGGCTTGCGTGGGGGTTTGCGGCCAACTTCCGGTTGTCAGCGGGTTGCGCTTCGTCAGACAGGAGTCTCAAGCCGTTTGCGCATCGAGGATTACGTGAAGGGAACGGCAGGTTCCCGAGGATTCGAGGGAACTCGCATCGGATTCCATCTCCGGCGGTGAGTAGGCGTGCTCTTGATTCTTGTCGTCGTAGTCTACATCTTTTAGATACATTGCGAAATGTTGAACGACGGAACGGCGATGCGGTGCACGTTGCGTGTCAAAGCAAGACCGTATCGATTTTCCTTTGAACGACGCAGTCGCGCAGTGACCCGATATCGCGGGCGAATCTGTAACGCGGTTCAGCGGAAACAAGGCGGACGAAATGTTTATGATGTTTTCGAATATTTTCTAATATTAGCATTAGCCTTTATTATGAATTTTATTTTCTAAGAAAAGAAATTTTATCTCGGGAACGTAAAATATTTACGATCTGAAGTTGTCTAAGAAGAGAAGGATGTAAAAAGGCGCGTAAAATAGAGCGAATTTACGAGCAATAGTCTAAAATATATTCTAAAGATTCGTATATACATACAATTCTATGCTAATGCTCGACGCTTATTTTTAGCGTTAAAATAGGTCACGTGGTGAAAATTGACGAATATGAAACAGAAATTCGAAAATTAAGATTATCTCATTATTTAATTTCTAATTTGCCATCAATTTCTAAGGCGCAGTTCGATACAGAAAGAAAACGCAAATCAAAACGAAAAGTGGCGTGATTCGAAACGCCCCGTTTCCCGCGTAACGGTAGCTCCCGTGCGCGCGCACCTCTGGCGGTCACGTGGTCCGTGAAAGGTTGACTACCGCGCCGCACTTCACTGTGCTCATTCGCGATCTGTCGCGGTTCGAACGTGGTGGTGGTCGTGTTGTGCGTGTGCGCGCTCGGGACGTGACGTGAAATCATTTTGCTTTGTCACTATTACGGCGTATCCAGCGGCACGTAGTCACACGACTGTCGTCAGTGCTAGTGACAGCCGGTCACCTCCGTCGGTGCTCCAGTTGAGGAAGTCGCACCGCCAGCAGACGTCAGCCTCGCCAGGTCTATCGATCCACTTCAAGGTTAGCGAGCGTAACTAAGAATGCACCGGCGATTAACGACTTGCTTTCGACGGAATCTCGCTATGAGAGAGCATTTCCCGCGAATAAGCTAATTCGTTTATATATAGAGCGTGATGCACCACCTTCCTGTGCGCCTCAAGATATCAGAGGGTCGATTGTGTATTTTGAAAATTATAAAAGTGAGCAAATTCACTAGAGTATTCATAATTTAATTGGTCAGTATCTAACCTTTGCTTGCTTTTCTAATTTTCACCTCCTTTCAAAATCCACAATCGACCTCCAGGTTTGTTCGCGTTGTACTTGAAATCTCCTAAAATTTTTGTATTTAAAACGAGATAAATATGTATTCGTGCATTGAAGAGAGAGAGAGAGAGAGAGGAGAGAAAGTGAAGATTCTCTGAATGCAAGCAACGCGAAAGACCTATCATCTTCCCATCCTTCGACGTCGGTTTCAACGGGGCGGATACGAGAGATCGATTCGCGATAGAACGCAGTAAAGATTAATCGAGCTTCTCGTACTTACTTGACTTACTTCGTACTTAACCCTTAGTACACACAATGGGTCATTCGTGTCCCAGGTTAATTTCCATCACTTTAACAAAAATTATTAAATGATTCTTATATATACACTTTAATATCCTTAGAAAGTATTTTTAAGGTTGTGTATTTTTGAAAATATTGTATATAAATGTTACAACTAATTATTTGATGTTCCTAGTTTTTTTTTGAAGAAAAGAAATATGCAAGAACACTATTCTTTAAATTTCTTGGAGTGAAATCTTACTTCAGAAGAATTAAAATACTGTCACTATTTAAAAAGAGTGAAAAATTTGTACTCTTGAATAAGAGTAATAGATTTTTATTCTTTTTTTTTTGGAATGCGATTTCACATTTTTGACGTGAGATTCATTCCAGAAAAGGAGTGAAATTTCTTTCCTTTAGAATGAATCTCACTCCAAAAAAAGAGTGAAAATCTGCCACTCTTATTCAAAAGCGCAAATTTTTCATTTTTTTTAAATAGTAGCAGTATTTTAACTCTTTTTTAGAAATAAGACATCAAGAAATTTTGAGAGTATAATTAACGATGCAGACAGACAAATTTGTTTTTTGTGACTTACATAGTGTTCGTACAATTTTTTTTCTAAAATAAAAAAATGAAAAGTAAAAATTTTTTCCATTATCTTCAATGATAAAAATTTTTATTTGTCACGTTTCCATCTTAGTGAAAAAAATTACATATCGCTATCCAAAAAGTCGATTGTACATCTTGAAATGAGATGAAAATTACAAAAGTGAATAAATTCTGCACAAAGTGTTG